AAAGCCAAGTTTCCACTCGGATTACAATAAATAAAAAATACTGAAACAAACCACACTGGAAACTATGCAAATGTGATACTTACAGTCCTTCAAACAACCTTATGGTGCTCCATCCATTCTCTTTCCTTTTCAGAAACCCTTTTTTTGGCATAAGAGACCCTCTTAGCGGTGTGAACAGCTTTTTTATATCATTAAGTTTTGAAACAGCAAATAAAAAGCTTTGAATTATTTGGAAGTCATTAAGACACCCCAAAATTAAAATGCCAAGTTCTGTCTCTGTACCTGCACCATATACAATTGACAGAGGTTACAAGTGGCTTTGCTGTTACTACAAAACAGGCCTCTGTTGGCCCTCATCGACTCCATCTAGCTCATTCCATAATCAGAGCAGCGCCCCAGGAGATCAGACAAATGGTCTTTATTTTTCATTTTCTAAAATATTTTTTTAATCTGGTCACATTGGAAGAGTAAGCAGTGCTTCATCCTGCCATTCATTCTCCTGCTGAGCTGGCTGTTAGTACAGTTGCACACTGTAGGCGCTGAACAAACATTCTGGTTGTTCAGCTGGTCTGCAGATCCTTCTGTAATCTTCTAATCCAGAAAAGTACTTGAAGAAATGGCATTGTCCCATCATTTGCTTTCCTAGTATTAGTTTTCTTACGCTTCCAATATAACTTCTTTCAAATCTTAATAAAATGGTACTCATTTTTGGGCTTTTTCTTTTATATTTGAAAGATTTAGCAATCACTACAATCCTCATGTTCCTTGTTCAGTAAGACTATACAAACAGCAAGGCAGTAAACAATAATTTTATACTGTAAGCCCTGAAGGACTTCACAAATTTTATAGAACATGGCCTAAAAAACAATTTTGAGATTGTTTCTACATCATTTCGTAGGAGAAGACAAAAGTGGAGAGCACCTCAGATAGACGCGTGGCTGCTCCTCTTGTTCCAGGGAGGATGAACAGAATATCAATCATTCCCACTACATGTAGTTTAACCCATTTTTTCTCCTCTCTCACCTTCAGTCTTCCAAATGAGCTATGAGCTAATGCTTTTGCCCTGATAAGCACTTAGTTGGATTTCAGTTATTCTCACAGTTTAAAACATAAACGAGTAAGTCCAGTCTTACCTTCATGAGGTTTTTTTCCACATCATCATGAACCAAGTCTATTTCCTTCCGCTTCTCGCGGTAGTACAAGCATTCCAGGGCTGTCTGCGAGCAAACCAAAGAACATTTGCAATGGGCACAGTACTGCACTGTAGAGTGGAAAACTTTGCTGAAGGAACCACGGAGCTGACATGACAAATGATATCCAGTGAGGGTGAAACAGAATAGGAGATGGCTCCACTGCACAAAACTATGAGTCTTTGTGGTTCATTACCTTACCTGTTAACACATACTTCTAGGGATTAGCTGCCACCAAAGCTTTCATTTGATTAGCTGCACAGTAAAGTCAGCAAGGCCTACATCACAACTTGCCCGTTTTGTTTAAAATTGTGTTAATTAAAACACCTCTGTTCTACACTTCCATGGCAAAATCCCTGACTCTCATCTCTCCTAACTCTTATACTTTGACCCTTTGACCCTTACTCAGTATCAAAGTTTGGAAGTTTTGCATCTACATTCTAGAGAATGACTGTGTAACTACCATTAGTGAACAGGGAGCCCAGGAGTGCTGCAGCTCACTGAGCCACTGCCTGCTCTCCTGGAAGGCACAGAGATGACTGCCTGAGCCTGCCAGAGCCTCTGCCTCCTGGAGCGGGAAGACAGGGGAAGAAGGCTTAGAAGCATCCTGGTAGGTTCCTGTATTGACCTGTGACCATGGTGGCCAAGCCTCCTTCCTACCAGGGGTAATGTTTGACCACGGTCTGTCTTGGTGACAACGGTGGAAGTTATAATAGTATTCAACAGAGAGAAAAATATTCTCTTTACCCATTTAGCCATAGTCATGAAGTAAGCAGCTGTGTCAAACCTACCTTCAGCGGTCCCTGCATTTCACCTACAGCACATTCAAGCCGCTTCTTGGCCGTTTCCAAGGCCTGGGTCTCTTTGAGCAGACACTCTAGCTCATAGGCGAGCTCAGATCTCCAGAAATCAATGTTAGAGATCCTCTCTCCTAAGTTTCTGCTACTGTCTTGTTGCATCTGATGAGTCAATTGATCCTTATCTTGCATCAGTCGCAAGGAATCAGTGTTCAGCCTTCCAGCCCAGTACCTGGAGGCTTCAGAGCCTTTTAACTGAACCATGTTTGCTTGGTGCCAGTCGCGAGTGCTGTAGCGGGAATGGAGGGAGGAACGCAAGGTGGGCAGAACAGTGGGTGGCCGCCCAGTGGGACTGAACAGCTCAGCAGAGCTGGGAGGGACCGAGACCACTCTGTGAAGCAGACTGGGCCTCCAGGAACTGAGGTAGCGGCATCCCGGTAGGTAGTAGGACTGGTAGGTGTCCTTGGTGGTGCTGGTGGGGGCTGGGTCCGGGAACAGGCAGCTCTTCCGCGTGCCACAGTAGCTGGCAACCTGCGTGGTCCCCAAAAACTCCATCGTGCCCAGGGCTCAGGCAGCTGCCTTCAGGCAGCCCCACTGCAGGCTGTCCTGGACTGCGGGCACCCAGTGATACACAGTGGTGTCACAGGGCGCGTTCCATAGCCTTTGCTCCACCCTTCAGAATGTTTACTGAAGGCTCTCTCCAGATGGGGCTGTGGGCTTGCCTTCACTGGGTCTGCCTTGAGTGAATTGCAGGTTGCATCCAAGCAGTATGAGCATGACAGTCAGTTGCAGGCATTAGAAGCAAGCCTGAACCGAAGCACAGGCTCTGGGTGTTGCCTTGGGCTGTCCTGATGATGTTTGCAGATGGTTTGCTCCAAATGTGCATGCAAACAACAGTACCTTCCTCTCCTGGTGATTTTTCCCATGTTTTAAGCATTAGGTTGCTTTTCAGAGAACTTACTTTTGTAGTTTTTCCTTTCAGGCTTCTGGCAAAAAGCTCCTGCAATCCAGTGCTCTAAGATCACATCGTAACCCATTTTCTGTGCCAGGGATTTTGAATATAAATAATTGTTTGTATCTAGGCTCTGTATTTTCTAAGTGTATTATCCTAAGTGTCCTTAAATCAGTGCAGATTTCTTCTAGGTTGAATGCAAGACAGCCGCTATCATCACTCCTTCTCCAGATACATACCTATGAATCACAGAATCACAGAATGGCCAGGGTTGGAAGGGACCTCAAGGACCATGAATCTCCAACCCCCCTGCCACATGCAGGGCCACCAACCTCCACATTCAATACTAGACCAGGCTGCCCAGGGCCCCATTCATGCCCAGCCTTGAACACCTCCAGGGATGGACGGGGCATCCACAACCTCTCTGGGCAGCTGTTCCAGCACCTCATCACTCTCTGTCAAGAATTTCCCCCTGACATCCAACCTAAATCTCCTCTCCCTCAGCTTAAACCATTTCCCCTTGTCCTGCTGTTATCTCCCCTTTCAAAGAGTTGATTCCCCTCCTGTTTGTAGGCTCCCTTTAGGTACTGAAAGGCTGCAATGAAGTCACCCTGCAGTCTTCTTTTCTCCAGGCTGAACAAGCCCAGCTCCCTCAGCCTGTCTTCATAGGGGAGGTGCTCCAACTCTCTGATCATCTTTGTGGCTCTCCTCTGGACCCTCTCCAACAGCTCCCTGTCTTTCTTGTACTGGGGGCTCCAGACCTGGACACAGTGCTCCAGATGGAGCCTCACAAGAGCAGAGTAGAGGGGGACAATCACCTCCCTGTCCCTGCTGGCCACCCCTCTTTTGATGGAGCCCAGGATACCATTTCCCTTCTGAGCTGCAAGAGCTCACTGCTGGCTCATGTTAAGTTTTTCATCTATCAAGATCCCCAGGTCCTTCTTCACAGGGCTGCTCTCAAGGACCGCTCCTTCCAGTCTATATGGATACCTGGGATTCCTCCAGCCCAAGTGCAAAACTCTGCACCTTGCCGTGCTGAACCTCATCAGGTTTACCGGAATCAGCTTGTTTTTGTGTTTTTGTTTTAATTTGGGAAAACAAAAAGGTACATATTTCTATGCATTATGATGCAGACCACTAGCATGATATTACACTTCAGCTGAGAGAAAAAAAAAAAGGAGAGAGAATTTCAATCAAATTATTGTTAAGTTATATTTATCTTCCCGTGAGGTGTGAGCTGTATCTAGATGGACGTGGCCTCACTGCCTCAGGAGGGAGGGGGTTCCAAGGAAGGGGTTTATTTTGCTGCTCTGTGTGGGGAATTTTCTATATAATCTTGGGAACAGGAAATGATCTGTTGGCCCGAGAAGAGAAATGTTTGCACACATGCCTCACTGTATGGTGTGGAAAGGCTTGCTGACATCAGCAAATCTGATCCATGTTTGAAGGAAGCACAGACCCAAAGCACTGCTCTGAGCCCTGGCCTCAAGTGGAGCCGCTGTTTCATCAGGAATTCTGCAAGTAATTCTGCATGCAGCACACGGTGATCAGCATTTACCTGAGGTCAGTGCCCTGTAAATGGAAACGGTGTAACAGGCAGTGGTCAACAGCCGACCCCAGAGGCCAGCTCCCCATAAACTAACAGTGCTTCAAGACTTCTGTTCCTAGTCTGCCTTTGGTATGTGGACAGTTACTTAGAGCGGTGTTTTATTTTCCCCCAGGAAAGAAGAAGAACGGTGCCATGGCTCAACGCTCGGCTCTGTCAGATCGCCTGTCCTTTGCTAACACACAGGATGCCCAGCTGGGGTCCTTCGGGTTCTCAATTTTACCGCTGCGGTTTCCGCAGATACTCAGAACTGCCGCAAATTGTACCAGTGGCCTTATTTTACTGGAACGGCACATAACGTCGTGGACACAAAACTCCCAGCACGAGCACCCGCGCAAGGGCGCAGCGCGGCCACTATCGTCCTGCAGCGCCCCCTAGCGTCCAGGCGGTATGCCCACCCCCGGCTGCAGGCACATGCGCGTAGGGCGCCGCGCTCCCGGCGGAAGTGGCGTATGGCCGGCGCCATGGCCGAGGTGGCGGACGGGTCGCAGCCGGAGGGTGAGGGACGCGGCGCCGTGCGGGTCCGGCGTGTCGTGGCGCTCGCGGCCGCCGGCGGGACTCGTGCCGCAGCTGTCGCATCCCCTTGCAGACTGCCCGGGAACCGGCAGCGCCCAGGCGGGTCGGGCCGCCGCATGTCAGGGATGCCCCAACCAGAAGCTCTGCGCCGCCGGCGGCGCCGCGACGGACCCGGGTGAGAAAGGCGGTGAGAGGGCCGGGGGCGCGGGACGGGGCTCCGCGCTGGGGCGGGGCTGACGCGGCCGCACTGCCCGCAGCCGAGGCGGCGGAACTGAGGGAGCGGCTGCGCGGCGTGAAGCACATCGTGGTGGTGCTCTCCGGGAAGGGCGGCGTGGGGAAGAGCACGTTCAGCGCGCTGCTGGCTCGCGGGCTGGCGGCCGACGAGGGCAAACAGGTGGGACGCGATCGGCTTTCCGCTTATTGCGCTGCGGTGTGCGCTGCGGGGCTTTGCATTGAGAGCCCTGCTGTGCAGGCGCGTTTCTACGGGCCTTCGTTGCTTCGTGTTCCAGGTTGCTCTGCTGGACGTCGACATCTGTGGGCCGTCCATCCCTAAGATGATGGGTCTGGAAGGAGAGCAGGTGCGCTCTGACCGCTGCTATAGTGAGAGGCGAATGTGTCAGATAAAAGCATCCCCAGTGTGTCATTAAGAGTAAAGCTTCACTTAGATTTAAGGGTTCTATGTGGTCGTTTATTGGGAAGCCAGGGGAGCAAAAAAGCTGAGATGGCCAATGTGCAGCGTGGTGTCATTTGTTAGAGAGTCACAGGCAGTCGGGGTGACCAGTTGTGCCAGCCAGGTGCTGCTCTGAATCTCCTGCTAATCCATGAATACTGAACCTGAGTCGTACCAGCATGGTGCTCTTTATCAGCTCTGAAATGTTTAATGTGTTTATATAAAATCATGGGTATGTTTCCAGCAAGAGTGTTCAAGCAGTTCACTTATTAATGGAGATGTAACTTCTGCAATTTTTAATTAACCTGGTCCAATACAGTGGCACCACATCCATAGGCAAGGTCTTTTTATCCCCTTTGATCTTCTGTTCATCTTTTACATAACTTCTGCATTAATTTCTCGTGTGACTTTGTATGTATCTCTTCAATTTTCAGGTTCATCAGAGTGGATCAGGATGGTCTCCAGTGGTAAGCTGGTGCAGCTGTTCCCAGAGGTGGCTGGCTGGGTTTGACACTGTTGTAAGGAGCAGAAGGGCTGGGGAAGAAGCACAGTGTGCTTTTGTATTAATTGTAGTGGACAGAGGGTCTTTTACACCCCCCAGAAAACATCTCATTAATCTTAAAAATATGCAGGGAAAATGCCAGGTGTTTTTTGTCTGAAGGTCACCTGTGGTGTATCCCCTCTACCCTTTCTCTCCTGTTCTGCGTGGAGTTTCTCTTCTCTTTTAGTATGTTGAGGAAAACTTAGGTGTCATGTCAGTGGGGTTCTTGCTCAGTAGTCCTGACGATGCTGTCATCTGGAGAGGACCAAAAAAAAATGGTACGTGTTCAGGGTTTTCAGCAACAACTTACATGGTTGGAAGAGTGAATATCTGAAGATGAGCTTACTTGGCTAAAGCACAAATCTAATAAAGTAAGCGATGGCAAGAGGCAGTGAATACTCCACACTGTTCAGTAGTAGTTAGCATGCCTTCATCATTTTTCTTGCACAGTAGAGCCAGAGCTGCACAATATAGTTGTGTTACTGCTTCCGCTTTCATCACAGAACTTTTTCTCAATATCCTCTCTAGTTTCTTTGAATAATGGCTGCAGTGGGTCAGGTGCTTTATTGGGTTTTGGGTTTTGCCTTTTGTTTGTTTTAATTCGTTGCAAAATAAGCACTTCTGCACCTAAGTTGACTGTAGTCAGAAGAATTTGTATATCTGGGCTCTAAAATTTGTAGCAGACTGAAATATACAAGGATTTTTATTTCATTTAATCCCACGTTCTTGTCCTCTCTGCTAGGGCTGATCAAACAGTTTCTTCGTGATGTGGACTGGGGTGAAGTTGACTACCTGATTGTAGACACCCCTCCAGGGACCTCAGATGAGCACCTCTCAATTGTGCAGTACCTCAGTGCGTCGCATATAGATGGCGCTGTTATAATTACGACCCCTCAGGTAAGAGATCTGCGTTTCCATTCACAGAAGCAGCACGGCAAGTGCTTGGTTTAGAATCAGTGTTTAATTTCAGAGAAGGGAGCTGACTGACTTGCTTGTGTGTGCAGCTGGCTGCTTTATGAGCTAGGTGGATGCCTTGGTGGAGTAATGGACCTGAGTGAGCTTCTGCACAGCTGAGTGGTTCACGGTCAAAAGCTGTCTGATCTGTGTTGTGAAGTGAAATGCATTAATTCACTTCTTCAGGATATGAGCTGGCATCACTGTGCATTTGTAATTTGATCACCAGTGGCTTAAAGCTCAGAAGTCAATAAGTTTTTAAATAAGGTGTGCACTGTTTGACAGCAAATGAAGTGCTGCCTCCCAGCTGCTTGGTGCTTTCCATAAATCAGTTGGAGTAGAGAACAGTCACACAAGGACTTAAAATCTGGGGGGATAGCTTGAGTTGCACATAGAGAAAGGCATATTTATGCGATGTACAGTTTTAAAAGAAAAAATCAGAGGTCTGAAATTCAAATTACATCAAATTCACAGGTATTGTGATGAACATAAGCAAAGGGAACAATGCCAATTGATTATAAGCAATTCATTATAAAATCCAATTGTTTCTTCATGTTTGTAGGAAGTCTCACTTCAGGATGTTCGGAAAGAAATCAACTTCTGTCATAAAGTGAAACTGCCAATCATAGGTGTTGTGGAGAACATGAGTGGCTTTATATGTCCAAACTGCAAGGTAAGGCTGTCTGTATCTTAAAACATTTCTTTATCTCGCTGTTTCTGGAAAAATACCTTGTTCTCAGAATTGGAGCACTGTAACTCTTATTTTCATGTTGTCCCAGAAAGAATCTCAGATCTTTCCCCCAACTACTGGAGGTGCAGAGAAGATGTGCCAGAACTTAAATGTTTCCCTCCTGGGAAAAGTGCCTCTAGATCCTCAAATAGGTAACGTTACTGTGTTGCACTACAACAGCTTTAAAACTGTGCTGATGTTCTTACAGGGGAGTCTGACAGAATGTTAAATGTTTTGTGTCTCAGGTAAATATTCTCTTTTACATAGAGCGTCTGTTTGAATCACACATACCATGGTGTGAAAAGTGCTGGGTAATTTACTTAACCTGGTGTTTCATCTTGATGAGGATTTTATTACACGTCTTTTCAGCTGTATAATCCTTACTCTAAATATGTGGTGTCTTTTTTATGTAATCACCTGAAAACACAGCTAGTAAATTCTTCTGTGAAGAATAGTGTCTTGTAAATGATAAGCATTAAAATTAGTGCTCTTTCTTCACTGTCACTGGCATGACTCAAATCCTGTTGTGGATTGTGAGATGCCTTGGTTCCTCACTGGCTATTAGAAATGAACACTTGATTTAATGACTTGAGGAACAGGTCAGTACTTCCAAAGTAATGGCTGAAACCTCCTGCTGATGGTGGTCCTTTGTACAACTGTGAGCTGCAGCTCTATCACTGACGTAACCATTTCTTAAAAGGAATGGATACCAGTGGTTCCTCGGAGGAACATAAGTGATAGTGGGATGAGCAGTAAGTAAAGACAAGTTCTTCTTGTTGCACTGTTTTCATGCTTTTCCTGTCCTTCCAGGAAGAAGTTGTGACAAAGGTCAGTCTTTCTTGTCTGAAGTGCCTGAGTCTCCAGCGACATCAACTTACAGGAACATAATTCAAAGTAAGTCTTAAAATCACCATGAAGGTGAATCCCTGCTGCAGTGCATTAAAGGTGCTAGAAATTGGTTTTCTGCTGCACGTAATCAGAAAACAAACCAGGGTACATGTGCATAGTAATTAAGAATGTAACGTGCAATGTGATCTTTTGGTCGTTAGTTATGGCAGACTTACAGACTGGTGACTGAGTTGTATATAATTTCATTCTTTTGCTTAAATCATTAAGAAAAGATGTGTGTTTGCTTGCTCTCAAGCAGTTTTTAAGCAGGCCACCGAGGGGAGCCTACTAAGTGTGATACAGCTGGGTAATATTGCCTCCTCCTGGTTGTAATTGCATATAAACTACCCGAGGAGCCAATGATGTACAGTTTCAAGATAGCAGCAAAATTCCGTGACAAAGGCCCAACCTGTGAGAGCAGCAGGGGACAGCAGGATTGGTATTTATGTATTACTTTTTCCCTGTCTCTCCAGGGATTCAGGAGTACTGTGATCAGCACCATTTTCAAGAAGAAAAGATTATCTGAACACAATAAAAATATGCTTCATGTGTAATTACAGAAAAGTAACTTATGCCTTGCCTTGACTTAATATAAGGAATGTATTCTTTTTGTATTCTGCAAATAAATCCTTAGTATTAATGTCATTCTCTTTTTTTCCATAAAGATTAATCAAGATTACTGAAATTCACAACTGGTCTCAGAGCTTGCTATGAGATTAATTAGATAAAATAAACAAACCTTCATCTGTGTTACAAAGGTGCAGTTTGCATCCAGTCATCATACTGATAACCTGAATATGAAGTTGGCTTTTGAAACGTGCATAGACAAAATCTTATTCACAAAGCTGAATGTAAAATAGGCTTCAGTGACACTGGGACATTCTATCTAAACTTTTACATGCATGTGCAGTAGGCTCTGTTCTGCCTTCTGCTGTAGGATGAGTTGCAATGCCAGATGTCTCTCTTCCTGAACATCACATAAGTATCTTTGTCAGTGGAAAAGATCTGTTTTTAGAGTGGAATTTTCGAAGTGATGTCCTCTTTCCTTACACTTGGCGTTGGTTTTAAAACACCTAGATGTTAGGCAGCTTACAGTATAACAGCACAAGTACAGAATTGTATTTACGACACCAATCAGAATAAGATTAATGGATTTTGATTACTTCAGTGTAACTGGGGCTGCACGACACTATTTTCTTCCTTGTACTGACTCTTAAGCCTGAGCACTTTTAAAATAACAATAACAGTCCCTAACCAAGCTGCCCTTATGCAATTGTATTTCCTCTTCTTTTTACTGAGTAATCAAGACTTGGGAAATCTGTGTTGTGTACAGAAGGAAAAGGTACTTTCACTTTATTGATTTTAGTTTCAGAATTAAACAAATGATCATCTGGCTGCATTCTAATGCTCAGGACAATCTAGCAGTTTCAGTTTAGTTTACAGGTTTATCTCAAGATAATGTCTGCTTTTTGAACTTCTGCACAACTACAAGCAAACTGCCTTTTGGTGAAAGTCATTTTGAAGTAAATTGAGAGGTTTTGGAGACTGATAACACAAACACAAATGATAGAAAATCATTATTTCATGCAGGCAATTCTAGAAGAGCTTTACTTCACTAATTTCATATGAAAAACGGCTTTTATAAGTGAGTACTCCTACTGCTCCTCCTTTTGTTTTTCCTTAATTGATTATCTGGTCCATGTCTTCCCATGTCCTTCAATGCGGTCTTCTGAAATCCCCCTGCTCTGTCCTGTTGAGTGAAAACATGACAGGCAGATGTTAGCATCATTTACTATACACAGGGAAGAGGCTGTTGGAAACCCGAGGGTTTAAGGTAGCTCTTTCAGCAATGCCCACGTGCTGTGCTAAATCAGCATGGTACTGAGCACTTCACTTGGAGAAAATTCATCATGGGGTTTGGAAGCTGCTCAGCCATGGAGCAGCCAGCTCCTGAATACAGAGCAGTGACTTTGGTGCAGCCCCGTGGTGGGAGCTCACAAGATGGACGTGCTGGAAGCCCTGCCAGAAGATATGTTAGGAACCAGTATCTGGAAGAAGCCAAAGCCTGTAACAGTATGAGGCAGGTCAGCATTTGATACTTCATGGGCTACTGCTGGCAGACCAACTTAATACTTACTCTTGGCAACATCTGCTGTGACAAAAAACCTTGAAGTTATTTTGCTGATGCTTTTCTGTCCCCCTAATTTGCAGTGGATGTATCCATATAAATTAGCAGTCTGAAGGGAGATACCAGCTATGACAAGAGCCTGCAGACAAACAGAAGTTTAGCAGAGATGAATGTGCTGCCATATATGTAGATTGTATGCAGGGAAAATATATGCATACGTATGTTATAAGAAGGATGTTATATATATAAAAGAAATATATTGCTTCACATAATGAATAACCTTAAAAGAGATACATTCATATTAAACACAGCAATCCTTTTCTGTAAGAAAATACATTTTTTAAAAAGTGTTAAAATTTTTGGCTCAAGTCATTCTGTATCTTGAAATATTTAAGCTCCTATTCAAAAAAAAGAAAAAAGCACCTGTCCAACTGATTCTATAATCATTTCACTTCTTCTAAGCCTGACATATCTAATATCCTCATAAGCAGATACACAGCAAGCCTGCAGATAGGTTTGCTGACAAATGCCTCGCTGTAAGATCCTGTAACTCACAGGTTTACAGAGAGCATCAATAGATAGAAATCAGTATCCACCATTAGCAGGCAGTAAAAATAAGTGGAACCACTGGTGCTTATAGGCTCAGAGAAACTTTGTTTCCTAGAAGCTACTGCATTTTCATTTGTGGAACTTGCTTCCCAATGTATGAGCAACATGCATCTTCATTGCTAGCTTGGGTCCAATTCTGGTTTTCAAAACTAAGGGTGGAGAACTACTGCTGGTTTAATTTTAACTGTTGTTTCTTTAGTGATGCCATTTGAGCCACGATAAAGCAGTTAATTATTTGCAATCAACTCATACCCACAGATGAATTTCCTGTTCCATTAAGTAATAAAATGCAATCTCAGGTATTGTTTGTTATGTAGCAGTATGTATGCAAGGCACTTTACCTCTTAAAAATCAGTAACAAAATCATACTTAGCACAGCAACGTAACAAAATGTATTCTATGGTGATTATGCAGACACAATAGAAAAGTTTACAGGGGAAAGCAATGATTTCTTAAAGTCTGTTAGCACAGTGCAAGTATGGGGTACACAGCTCTGGGGAAAAGTTAGCTGCTGTAGTTAAAAGTGAAGCTACAATTCTGCCAACCTTTAAGATGCCCTTCTTGAGACAGGTGAAACTGTCAACAGTTGATAACACAGTAAAGCCAGGCTGAAAGTTGCATTCCTGAGCTCAGGGCTTCACTACAGAAACCTCAGATTTCAAATTCTTATTGGGATTTTTGTAACATGAGAGATCTTGATGCAAAGATTTTTGCAAAACTACAGCTCTGGGTTTTCTCTCAGCTAACACTGCTTGTCAGCTATCGTTCATTCAGTAACCCCAGACTTACCAGCCATTTCAGCTTCAGGGAAAACAAGGTGCTGAAAAAAAACACTGTCCAAATCACTGGGCAGATGATGAGGCCAAGCCAAAAGATTCGAGCTTCAGCTTCAGTTGAGGCAGCTATTGTAGGCACCTACAAAGGAAATTATTGACATTTTAGTCACAAAACCAAAACCCACAATAATTAACAGATCAACAAAGGAGGAATTGACATAAATCTTTACATGAATTTATTACATTTAATTCAATTTGGCATCAGATTCCTACTATCTCTCAGATTCCTGAGAGATGTGTGACACAGAAGACAGTGTTACAAACAGAATTTTAATACATGTAACCATAATTACCAACAAATTACCAGCAGAGATGCTGCACTGGCACTTACAGTTCGGGGGAGAAAATAAGTCCATACAGAGAGAACTCCACACCTGAAAGACCTAAAGGGCTGGCAGTTGTGATGTTCAGGGTGTGTTACTGTCTTCCAGCACACCTCAGCTGCTGGTAGGATTTCTAGGTTGAGCTTCTGTCCCAGCAGCAGCAGTGCATCAGGAATTGGTTGCTGGTTGGTGCTGAATGAGTTGTCACACTTCTAAGCAAACCCACCCCACAGAGGAGATTTTAAAAAGCTGCCAGAGGAGTGGCAAGAGATGGAGCCCCAGACTGGGAAGTAAGAGAACAGTGGGTACCCCCGGCTGTGCCATGATCAGTAAACCAGGACAAAAATACAATTTACCCTATTTATACCTTCCTTCCTCTGTTGTGATCCCCACGTTAATCAACCTATTTGCCAGAAGTTTTTGAAGGCTCGAGCCCACAGAGGTGAGCGGACTTTGTACTGACTGACAAACTGCAGTAAGTGAAGTAGGCAATGCACTTACTCATTTTACAGTAAGTGCCAAGAAAGCTCTTGCTGTCTTTCTCAGCTCCACAAAACTGTGATACACTGGAGGTCTTCCAGCTTCCTTGCTTTCCTGCAGACTTGCTTGTATCCTAGATTTCACTTAAAATACAGGCAGAAAGCTGACCTCTGCTCTCCCCTTACTGGTGTGCAGCCACGCTGCCTGCTGCATTCCTGCACGTACAGCCCCAGCTGCACACAGGGCTGCTAGAGGGCACTGCTGGCCTGCATCTCTGGGGCAGTTCCGTTGGGCTCAGCACCTCAGTTGTGTGCACCTCTGGCTTTGCATTAAAAGGGTGACCTACTGTGCAACACTTGAGTGTTGTTCGACCAAACTCTTGTCTGCTGGGGTGCTGGACACTGTGTTAGCAAACAAATGTGGAACTGGCAGTCTTGACTCTAGCAGCAATGCCAAGTGCCATTTGATGGGGCTTCTTTGCTCAGCACTAGCAGTGTTAGAATGCTCCAGAATCTGGGTGCTGCTGCCCATGAGCATGAATAAAAGAAACTAACTTTTAAGAAAATGAATTTGAACTATTCAGCCTTGCTTTCAACATAGTTCCTTCCTGAAGATAATTCTGTTTTGTAAATAACTACGGGAAGATGGATTCATTATAAGTTGTTCTCATTTGTTCTTTTTTTTAATTAGTATGGATACAACAAGCTTTTCACATGCTTTCTTTTCACATGCTTGTCATGTGCCTTTAATTATCATTCTTACCCTTTTTGCTTCAAATACCCAGTGACTTTTTCCATCTTCATCAATCTGGTTCCACCAACGTAAACCAACCAAGAGTCTTCCTGTCACATTCTAGTGACAGAAACAATTATTTGCATTAAGCAGCTGCATCACTCATTTGTCAGAAAACATTTAAAATAAAGACAAGCATGTCTGAAAATGGTATTTCTTACCAAATACTAAATTTATTTCTAAAGCCTCTGTCAATTTGTGCACAACAGTCACTAAGAACAGATGAGTTAACAGAAATGGAGAGACTGTTCTCCTAATCTGATCATTAGCACAATAATATTAACTTAGATAAGAAATGATAGGGTGCATCTTTCCTAAGTCAGTTATTTGGAGAAGACTGATAAATTCTTACTGAGAGAACACCAACCAAAAACACACTGGAAAAAAAAATGGAAAATTAATTATAAACAAGTGAGCTGCTTGGAATCAAGCAAACAATTAAATTAAGAAAGTATTTTTGAACCTGGATCAATACGTTTTACATCAATACATATAATTTTACTGTAAGTTGGAGACACATCAGTGTTTCACACAGGACTTAAACTTTGTTCTTTGCACCCCTGGGGACTCTGGGCTGGCCCCACCAACCCCCTGGGCCATCACGATGGTGCTGGTACCACAGCTGGGCCCTCTGAGGGCTGTGAGGCACAGCTATAGGCATCCTCTGGGTCCTTTCCCATCCTTATTGAAAACTACTATCTCTTTATTTTTTCCTAAGGATACACAAAGTATACAAACAAATCTGTCTGTGGCAAGGCTGCTTTCCTACCATGTTAGTAACTTACACCAGTGACTATGATATGTAAAAGCCTTGTATAAAACAGGATTGACCCATTTACTAAATCAACAGATCACAATGTCTGTCTCCCTTTCAGTATATATCTTCCCTTTTTACTAATAGTATATATATTTGTTAATGGCATAACAATACTTTCAAAGGTAATTACTGTTCAGGATCATCTTACCTTAACTGACCAAAAGTCAAAGGATAGAAGAAGGAGAATAGTGACAAAACAGGCAACAAAGCTGTTGCTGAACCAGTCACAGAACAAGTAGGTAATAATAGCACTCACTCGGAAAAACAGGTGGAAAAAGGTGGCCAGTGGGTGCCTGGAAAAACAACACAGAGCACTTAGGAAGTTATGGGACAAGGAGGACAGTTAGTGTATATGCTGACAGTGCAGTACAGCAACTATTTCTGGTCTACAGTGGCATCTCAGTTTGTAGTTGTTATCTGAGATGTTGATAAATGATCAAAGTGATGATACATCCAATAACCAACCTCCAGCCTACAGCTAAGAACAGCAATTGTTGTATTAATGCTTCCTCAAAGATGGAACAAAACCTGCACAGCCATGAGCTTCGTGGTGCTGTGTAAAGGAATCTGGTGAGTGGTTGCATTCAGCACTGCAGTCCCAGCTCCTCCATCTGTATGGCAGAGCACAAAGGAATTAATTGAGACAGATCTTGTCTTTCCAAAGTGCTTTGAAAATAAGACCAGCAACTCTCTGGAATTAAAATGATATAAAATAAGACAAAATGAGCTTTCATATGGAATAACTGAAAGTGAACACTTCCTTTTACAGAGGGAGTACAATTTAGGAAGTGTACAGTTCTTCTGAATGAACGGTCATTAATTGCACAGCATATCTGTGCTGTGCTTCTCAAAGGAAATTTGGCCTACAACAAAACTGAGGGAAATTTCAGTAGAAGAACCAACTGTACAGAGTTAAATGTTGGTCTGTACAGTAGGACGTGGGCTTGGAGGAATGCTGTAAGATGCACAGTCCAGGTAATATGCCAAGTGCAAAACAACAGAAACAGCTGGTTTCTGTGAGTTTAAAAGGACAGTTAATTAAAAGCCATTCCACCTGAGTAACGTCCTCCCTTGAAACCACAATGAATAAAATCTGTTTTCCAAATAAGATGGTTTGTTTCCATCTGTGATTGTTTCGCATAGCCCCTCTATCTCTTTAAGCAAGTAAGAGTAGTATGGCCCAAACCTTCATTAATTATCTATTTTATTTCTTATTCTATTAGGTATAATTAAAAATTTCATATGCATATTATAAATCTTCGTAAATTTGACTGGAGTTTAAATTATAGTACTTACTATATGTATTCCTTCATTATAATATCATTACTCCATACCTATTTATTTACCTATTTATTGTAGAAGTCAACTATTATATAATGGAAATATTGTGCTTGTAGTAAAGATGCCTGACTGGAAAAGCAAGAATGACACACAGCTGAAGCTTGCATGTACTGCTGTGCCCACACTAACCACAGACTTTCCAAAAAACTTCTGACTTACAGATAAACACGTGACATGTGAAATGAAAGGGGTTTTTTCTTACACAGGCGGAAGGAATCCTGTGAGCTGCCAAAAGCAGATCCTGCCTTGGTACTTCTTGTTCAACATGATGTAAGAGTTCAGCTGCACAAATAGTAAGTTGAAGTAATAAGGGCTACTTGTAGGCTGCAACCCTGGAGAGCATCAGGGCAGACAGCTTTTATAGTTATGCTGGGGGCACTCTGGAGAAGCAGGAGGCCCACGTTTGTTACAGCCCTGAATGCTTTTTGTGGGGACTACAGAGAGTCAAGCCCCTCACAGAGATATAGAGATAGAGCTGCTCAGGCCAGAGACACATCTGCAGGTCCAAGGGGAAGAAGAGTTAGACTGCTCAGCACTGGCATGTTGTTCCCTGCATGACTCCCTCATTCGCAGAACATGTGCACATATATATGCTAACAATAAATATGTTTTCTGATTCTGAATTCTGAAACTAAACAAATCCAGTTCATACTGTTTGCTTCCTCATCTAGAAGAGCAAACATGCATTTCCCTAACTTGCAGCCACCAGGTGAAGCTTACAGCTTCTACCATATAGGAACAGAACTTTGAACAAATAATCTGAGATAAAGGAAACTGTCCAAGCGTGAAGGCGAAGCCTCTGCATGCTTTTTGACATAAGCTATACAGCTCTAAGTGAATACATTTTCAATTGTACCTGATACATTTTTTTAAAAAATACAGTTCCCAGAAGTATGGTAGCAATTAAGAAATTGCATGAACTAACATGATTTCTTGTACTAACGGAAGACAGTGTAGGCTTTAAATGCACACCAACTTCTCATAAGACTAAACTATTACCAATTATATCATCAGTAACTTTGTTTCATTCGAAAGGATGATGGCTGTCAGGATAGGAATGAACTGCTGTGAATTTAGTTGGACCCTGCATTAAGGGATCAAACTGGGTCAGCCCTACAGTGTACCACTGAACCAGTGTTGCCCAGGCACCTGCGCCAAGTGTCACAGCAGCTCTGCATGCCACTCTTTGCACCTCCTGTCCAGAACTTCAGATATATTTAGGCCAATTTTGAGCAACCAGACCCTCTCTCCATCATCTTGTGTTACCTGACGAACGTGAAACAGATGTGAGCATATGCTCCTGCTTGATCCCGATTAAATGTTTTGATACTGCACAGAGCTGCAAGTTGTGCAAGGTTGTGCTCTCCTCCTAACAGAAGCAGCCACCAACCGCACCATTATCTGTGCACCTTTTGGTTCTAAAGAGCACTTGCACACATGCTGGAGAATCACAAATGTACAACTTGTCATGGCTCATGCAAACTGAGTAAGTCCAAGATGTATGAAAGTGGGATAAGGTTTAATAAAAGCAAACGTCCAGAATATGTCATCATGACTTCTCACAGGCATTGAAGTTCTGCAGCTCATGGCTGTGTACCAGGCTCATTTGCACAATTGCTCACAGAGAAGTTTGTTTTTCTATTTCCAAAGAATCTGAGCAGTTTCATTTCTGTATTCTACAGCACAAAATATTTCAATAAGAGATTATCCTTTTGCAGTGTCACAATGAGGGTAAGAAAGAAGAGCAGTCTTTGGTGAAATAATCATCTAAACAAAGTGAGCCCACTGTGGTATGGTTATCAGGGAGCATGAACCTGCAGAACAGAGCTGGTTTTACTGTCCAGGGCTGGTGCCACAGGTCAGAAGCAAGCACTTCAGCACAGTTCCAGTTCCCACCAGACTCCAGTCTGGTTCCACTGTGTCTGCTGCATACAACACTTGCAAGTTTTAGTTCCCAGTTTAGTCACCTCCATTCAAGCCATGCGCTCCAGAATCACACCATAATACAGAACAGAATGCAAACCTTCCTCAAACCTGCTGCCATGGCAGAGAACACAGAAAACAGTTCTGGGGATGTTAATGCTGTGTCATGGCAGCTCACCATGGAGCCAGACTGCAAGTCTAGTGCAGTGGAAGGGCTGAGACGTTCCACCAGATAATGGTAGAGCTGAGCAATTGTATTGTAAAGCTGCACGACTGCTTGTGTGCCTCAGATAAGCTGTGCAGGCTTAGTGTCCCTTATTTTATTTATGCCTGCAAGACATGCTAATGTTGCAATCTACCACAGTCATCTGGAGCTTGGTTGGAGGGAAGAGATCAGTATCAACAGAAGCTGATTATATGAAGTATTGATGAGTGTGTATGGGCAATTCGCTTTGACAGCTGTTGGAGCAGATCCAGAGGAGGGCCATGAAGATGATCGGTGGGCTGGAGCAGCGCTCCTGTAAAGACAGGCCGAAGGAGCTGGCCTTTATTCAGAGGGTGGCGAGGCACTGGCACAGGTTACCCAGAGAAGTTCTGGAGGCTGCATGGGCCTGGCAGCCTGATCTGCTGGGTGGCAACCCGCGATCAGGGGGAAGGTTGGAGCTGGATGGTTTTTAAGGTCCCTTCCAACCCAAAGCGTTCTGTGATGCTACGATACACCTCATCTTGTGACAGCCTTTGGCTGGGGGCCCTTCGGCTCCAAGCAGCACAACGCTGCGGTATGGCGGTGCTGCGGTGTGGCGGGGCGCTGTGGCGGGGCCCTCCCTGCAGCGCACAACGCGGCCCGAGCGCAACGCGGCCCGAGCGCAACGCGGCAGCAGCGGCCGGCAGTGGGGGGGCGGGGCCCGATCCGCTCCGCTCCCCGTTACCTGATTTTGGCTTTCCGCAGCGCCAGCTCCTCCTCGCTGCCGAAGTCCAGAGACACGTCCTCGGTGTCGTCCACCAGCGCCTGCGGCGGGGACCCCCACAGCGCTCCCGTCAGCGCCGAGGGGCGGGGAGGCCGCGCCGCCGCCGCAGCCCGCCGCCCCGCGCCGCCCGCCCGCGCCTCTACCTGCTTCATGCCGCGGTTGCGGGGTGTGACAGTCGCCGACGCCCGGAGGTGTCAGAGGGAGAAGGATCCCGCCGGACCCGGGCGCGGCCCGCTCAGGGCTAAGGCGCGGTGGAGCCTCGTCGCCCGCGCTGAGGTGCGCGGCGGCGCCTGCGGGCGGGCGGCTCGGGCTGAGATGGCGCGGGGCCGGGGGCTCCTCCGCTCGCACGGCCGCCCCCTCAGGGAACGGGGCCGCCCCGCAGCCCGGCCGAGCGGCGGAGAGCTGCGGCTGCACCTCGAGCCTGGCGTAGGGATTCCCGTCCTGTAGTTAAAGGTGTTTCAGCCTGCTTTTGTTGAAGCTGCAGGATGGTTGTAAGGCGGCAGCACGGAGAAAGGCTTCCGAATATGGATAGGGGAACCGAAGTGTGCTCAGAACGACCGAGAAACGGATCGGTCGGGTGGGTACGAAGTGAAGGATCGAGGGACAGCTTTACTGATGTTACATGAGCCTGCACTTAACGTCTTACCTGTCTTCTGTAAAATAGAATCACAGAATCACAGAATGGCCAGGGTTGGAAGGGACCTCAAGGACCATGAATCTCCAACCCCCTGCCACATGCAGGGCCACCAACCTCCACATTCAATACTAGACCAGGCTGCCCAGGACCCCATCCATGCCCAGCCTTGAACACCTCCAGGGATGGACGGGGCATCCACAACCTCTCTGGGCAGCTGTTCCAGCACCTCATCACTCTCTGTAAAGAATTTCCCCCTGACATCCAACCTAAATCTCCTCTCCCTCAACTTCAAACCATTTCCCCTTGTCCTGCTGTTATCTCCCCTTTCAAAGAGTTGATTCCCCTCCTGTTTGTAGGCTCCCTTTAGGTACTGAAAGGCTGCAATGAAGTCACCCTGCAGTCTTTTTTTCTCCAGGCTGAACAAGCCCAACTCCCTCAGCCTCAGGTACAATTATTAAATAATTTTATGTGTGCCTGAAGTTTACATACATAATTAACATACCAACAGGCACTGTGGTTTACGAGAAATGCATTGCAAACAACTTAAACAGAGCTGGCTTCTAACTTAGAAGCAGCTCCAGAACTGCGGTAGTGAAGGTCTTGCCACTCTGTCTGACAGCTTGGTTACCTAAGCTTCTGTATCAGCTCTTCTTTCGAGTGTCACACACAATCACAGAATTGTTGGGGTTGGAAGGGACCTTTAAGGATGGAGTCCAACCGCCTGCAACGTTGTGCCAGCAAGCTGGATTGTTTGAATCTAGTGACTTGATAATACTGCTCTATTGTCTGAGTCACTGAATTTTTATCCCGAGGTCAAAGAAAATACCACATGCTGTGTTCCTTGTCAGGAAAGACAATACTTCCGTGGGAGAGGTGAGGATTAGTCAGTTACATTAGGTATCTGATTTAGTACTCTGCTACTGCTATTTGACTTCAGTAGTAGCATCGGAATGATACAACTGGAAACAAGAAAAAGAACACATGGTTTGGTTTGTTCTTTTTGTTTTAAAGTGGATAAATGGTTATTTACTTTTCCCTCTCTCCAGTTCTTGTGCCAGCAATTCACTGCAGGGATTGTCTGCTTTCCTGACAAACTCTGTTCAATAATCCCACAGATGACTGTCATTATACCATGCAAGTGATTTTATTGATATTCTTTTTAAAGGTCTATCAAAATATATTCTGATTATTGGAGGTACTTTATGGGTTATCATCTTCTTTTAAAATAACTTAGAAGCTAGAAAGAATCCTTGGTCACTAGAGGAATCATTGGACAAATGACTTCCTCAGCTTTAGAAGTGGTCTGCAGTTTACTGCTGTAAAGGAATTAATTTGGGGATTATTAGAAAAAGATTCTTTGTTAAACATTTCTGGTGTTTTCTAGGATTTCATAGGACTACCAATTTTGCAGTAATTTTGAGTACAAATTATTTCAATTCTGGAAAGATCAGCAATACAGTAAAGATAGCAAATCTTCAAATGCTGCTTCAATGGCAAGTTGAAGACGTGGTTACACTGAATTAAGAATTGTGGTTTGGTTTTGAGGGAAGACTGGTTTGTGAACAGTACAACCTTGGCCACTTATGAAATAGATGAAGATTTCATCTAATTGCTAAGATTTATAGCATGAAGTGGTATGCTATACCACTTTGCGGATACAACTTGCTACAGGTGCAATCACTTGCTGCTGTGAATTTGCCATTAATCAATGAGCAGTTCTCACCAAGACCAAATAGAGGCCTTCCTATCCTAGTCCTGTAGGATCCTCCTGAAAAGACATGCTGGAGGAAAGGAAGGCGTAGTTGGGTGAGGGGTGGAAAACAGGACCAGCCGAAGGTCTGGTAGCGATTTTCTGCTTAGTCATCTTGTTTACCCTCTTGGTGCATAGCCTGTAGCAATTGTGTTGCTGGGAAAACTGATAAACCTGACTCTGCCCCTCCTGATCATGGCCTAAATTAATATCAAGAGCCTGACCCAGCAATTTCTGTCGGGACACTGTGCCACTCTGTTGTCATTTCGTGTCAAGGTGGTGCTGTGCCAAGACAAAAACACGTTACAGCACTCACAGATGTGCTTCCATGGCTCTAGGCTTAAGTAAAAGAAGTATAACCAACTCCTGCAGGACCCAGGGGAGGCCTTCTCATACAGCAGAAGCAGCATGCACTCCTGCCATTAAGTAACACTATCGGCAGAGACCACATGCTAGCAGGATACAAAATAGTGCAGGGACCACTTTTGAGTGGAATCCCCCCTCAGCTGCACTGAGACCCCCACACCGTGCACACCAACGTCTGCACTGACCATGGAACGTCAGACTGTATTACCCTTCCTAACAGTCCCTCTCCTTTAGCACGGTATTTGTTGTATGTTTGGAATTGCTATCTGTTGAGCATTTGCCAACTGAGATTGTAATTGCTTAAGGACATTGTATAAAACAAATGTTTAGTTAACTGCCTGACTTGTAGTGAGTGAAGTGTGTTAACTGAGCTGTGTGACACCGCTGACCATCAGGCAGGGAGCAGAACGGAGCGCAACAGAAAATCTGCGCGACACCGCTGACCACGGTGTGCAGTGTGGACCTGGTACAGATCTCTCTTGTTCTTTAAGGTCTGTTCACATCCAGTAAATAGAACCTGCTCTAAGGGTAAGGTGGTGCTTTGTTGACTTGGCTAACTGAAGTCAGCTGGTTTCTCGTAATGCTTTGGAGTACTGCCTGGAATCTACGCTGGCATAGAGACTTGCCCTTTAAACTGCATAAGGATATTTTGAATAACTCTATAGTAGTAATTGTGCCCTAAGTATCTCAGTTACAGCTTAATATTCAGAGGAACCGAATGCTTGAAGATATTGTTTAAGAATGACTTTTGCCTCACTTGTATTAAATACACAGATGCAGTTTGATGGGGGATTGGTAAAATGCTTAAATTTTGAGGAGATAGATTGGCCAAATTACAGAATTTATTGAATAGATAAATTTCTATTATTCATAGCTCTGTTTAGATCTCTGACATGCTTGCTAAACAGATCTTCAACCACAGTTTTCAATGGCAAAGTCTACTTCATCTTTTGTTGTAGACGCTGTGGTTAAGTGGCTTTTGCTATGTTTGCTTGAGTTTGTTCTTATTTATTCCAAATTTGTAGCTTTGAAGGGAGAAATAATCTTTCTCAGGAAAAAGAAGAATACAGAAAAAAAAAAAAAACCTTAAAAAAGAGAAGTGGAAAAGAGTTCCTAATCTGGTTACACAGTGAAGAGGGAAACCTCTATTTACAATTCTTAATTTGTTTGACATGCAGATTTCTGTGAAGCAGACCAGTGCTGCAGTGTTTCTGTTCAATAACATCTTTTCTTAATTTGTTAATCTTTGTCTGGTTCATTGGATAGCTTCAGCTCCTTAAAAATCCTTGAACTCAATCACAGAGAACTTGACAAGGTGTCAGGGAAATTCATGCTGTTTCTATAAGCCTGCATCACACCCAGAGGTGAAAGCATTCAGGATTGTTCAATCCTTTACATAAGCCACAGAAATATTGCTTTGAAGCAAAGTCCAGCACACTGACTTGCACATTCTTTTACACTGAATTACACTGAATGCTACTGGAGATGTCTTGCCCTACATGCAGCACACAGCTCAGCCTCTCCTGGTGATAGGGGCCCAACATGCTTTGGCAAAAACAAAAGCATGGTGCATGGTCTGTCTGTTAACAGTGGCCTATGAGCCACTCCTTTTCAATGGAGTCTGTGCTCAGGAAGAGGCTACAATTTCCTCTGCTGCCTCAGAGATACTGTAGTTCAGCCTCCTGGCTTAGGAGAGAAGGAAGCTTGAGGATGCCTTTGCTGTTCCCATGAAAGCACTTCTGCCTGATCCCCAGGCTGGAGGCTGAAGCATCTGTTTCTCTCATGGATGGGCCTCAGTTCATGATCCACAGATATATTTTTTTAAACCAGAATCTGTAAATAATCACCAAATAAAAGTATTGAAATACATCGTGGAAGAAGGGCAATACCCAGCCCTGCTTGTTTCTCAGAAGGCATTAACTTCTGGTTTCACCCTTTGGGCAGCATAGAACAGATTCAAAAAAAGGGTTTGAGAGCTCCGTGTCCCTCTCAGCCAAGCAGCCCTGAGGTCACATTGCAGAGCTGTAGAAACATGAATCTGAAGCTCCTGAAGGAGAAAACTTCATCTGATCATCAAATTCACTGGCTGCTGTTACAAGAAAATGAGCACAGCTACTGAAATGAAAGTAGCATTAAGGGCTTGTTTTTACAAGTGGCTAAAGATAGAGCTACTGTGACTGATGTGTATTTTCGTGTCTTTTGTGTCTAAAATCTGCTAGCTGACAAAAATCAGAAATGCTGTAGGGAAGCCCCTAAAATACATGATTTTACCAACTGTCAGTGGAGTGGTTTTGCCCAGTTTTCTCATCTCCATCATTGTGAAACTTGAACTGTGGTTTTGAACTTGTGCTTTTCCTTGTTGGTGTAGGTTTGAACTTGTTTTCTGTTTCCTATTCTTG